GGAAGTCAGTTACACCAGAGATTAAGGACTTCTACTGGGAGGAGTTTAAGGTAAACCATACTACCTGGGTTTTTTTTGTAACTATTGATTTTGTTACGAAAGTAAAACCGTACATCTCAATTATCAGTTGTTGCTTGTTTGTTGCATATCAAGGCTGAACATCACCTCTCTGAAAGATGTTTTGATGATATTTGTCAATATGTGAATGAGATGATTCCGCCTGATAATGTGATGCCAAAAAATTTCTATGAAACTAAAAAGTTAATGAGGGGAATGAACATGCCAGTTGAAAAAATTCATACTTGTGTCAATGCCTGCATGATTTACTGGGGAGAGGATAGTGAACTTGTAAATTGCAAGTTTTGTAGTCATCCCAGGTATAAGCTTACAAGTCAAAGATCTATTCAGAAGAAAAATCTTGTACCATTCAAACAGATGTATTACTTTCCTCTTACTCCACGACTGCAACGAATGTATGCTTCCACAGCAACTGCTTCACACATGCGATGGCACGCTGAACATGAAGTTGAGGAAGGTGTGATGCGTCACTGTTCAGAAGCACCTGCATGGAAGCATTTTGATAAGATGCATCCATCCTTTCCTAGTTCATCCATGTTCATTCGAGCTTCTTCAATATACTTCCCTCCTTTCCAAGCTTTTTTCAACACCTATGATACTTTTTTTGGTACACCTTTCGATACCTGATTGTGTCTCCTTCTAATATAATATTCATGTACTCATTATACCCATAAATTCCATTTTGCTATCATTTTATTAATGTATTATATTCATTTAGAATTTATGTTATATCAATTTATGTGATATTTTTCTCTATATTCTTAAACATAAGCGATTCCATTGGAATATTACAACTGAAGGTTCCATAAAGGATCATTTTATGAAAAAATGTTCAATACAATACAGGGGTATGTTATGTGAAGCAAGATCCTCTGAGGAGAAACGAAAAAATATCCCAAAATCTATTTGGGAGAGCTGGAAGCCTCACTATGATACTGAGGATTTTAAGGCTAAATCTGCACAATATTCCAAAAATCGACTAACTGAGAAATGTGGTGAAGGATCTGGTCCCTCGCACCATACTGGAGGCTCCCGGACTCACCGAGAGCATGCAAGACAACTGGTACAATTATTTTCATTTTGTCAAGTTATAGTTATTTAAAGTTATTCCTTATGTAATAACTTTAATAGATGTGATTTCAATTTTAGGCGAATGTTCTTGGACGACCACATTATCCGCATGAACTTTTGAAGAAGACACATACCAAAGGAAACAATGAGTTTGTGGATCTGAAGTCTAAGAGAACATATGTAAGTAATGCCAAACATTACTAATTATCTTTCTTAATTTTTGTTGAGGATTCGCTTAATCTTCATCCATCATGTTTATCCCAAACATTAAACGCATGGTTATAAAATTGGAGATTAACAAAGAGGGAAGTTAATATCATAGTGGTGCAGTTGATGGCTCTGTATAACTTTCCAGTGTGAAAGAACTCTTTAACAGCTAACAAAACATCATTGTGGATTACTGGCCCTACTTTATCAATGCAATCGAGACTATCTATAATCTCTTGGTCGGAAACTTCAGCACATAGAGTAGTTTGTTTTTCTAGAGGAAGTGTAGGTCCTCTTCTCATAATTGATTTGTCTACTGCTTGTAGCTAAGAGATGCAGAACCCATAAGACTATTGTAAAAGTAACAATTTCAGTTTGTGTGTCCTCAAGAGTGGTACGCTTGGTTCCTGATAAAGACATAATTTCAGATATTTGTTTTCTGTGAGCTCTTAGTTTCATCACTGCAGAGAAATGCTTTGTGTTGGAATCTCCAAGCTTAATCCACCTCGCCCTAGACTTTTGCTACAAGATGCTCTCCTTTATTAAAAACCACTTCTCCAAATTCAATAAGAGGGCCTTTTCTTCAATTAATATCCCATTAATTCACTGCATACTCAAGTGTTCTTGAACTACCTTAAATTTTGCCCTGGCACTATCAATTTGTTGGTTTATATTCTGAAATTCTCTACTATGCAACCTTTTGAGTTGTGGCTTTAGTGCCCTCAGCTTAAACCATACTTTTTTCATCCTCCTGTGATCAGAATTCATTGGCAGGTCGTACTCCAATCGTACATGTCCATTGATCATCATCCAGTCAAAATTACCAAAAGTCCTGTCCAACATACTCCATATTCTATCAGCCTCTGATAGTTTGTTTTCCATGTGAAAAATTCTCCTTTTCATGGTAGTTCGCTGAGAGATAATTGTTGTATATAGTCTGAGAAATCTTGTGTTTCACCCTGAGTCATGTGATTCCCCATTAGTCTGTCATTTGGTGAGAGTACAACATTGAAATCACCCCATAGAAACCAAGGTTTATTCATAAATTGGCGAAGTTACTGTAGATTCACCCGCATTGACTTTCTTTGTTCCAAGCTATTATAACCATCGATTATGGTGACCACGACTTCAGATCCATCAATTCTTCCTTTAACTAAGCAATAAATGAAGTGCGCCTCCTTTTCAATCAAGATAGCGTCGTACC